CGTACTCCCGACGTAGATATATATATGTATATATATGCATTCCAAGCGATGTGCGTAACGTTCCGTCGACCTTATGCTGCACGAGAACATCCAGAAATGGGAGTTTGCAGTCCACTTCCTTTTCAAGTGTGAATTGAATCCCAGCAATTGTTGAGTTGATAGTATTGTGGAGCACTTCTAGTTGGTTCATTTTTACGATAACAAATGTGTCATCCACATATCGCAGCCACATCCGTTTATCGGAAAAAAACCTACGCTGAAGTCATTCTTCCTTATAAGAGCAACCAGCCCATTTCTCACAAACGTAGTGCCGTAAACAGTCTGCTTGGTCGAGCAAAAACACATTGTTCGGATGAAGAAGGCTATCAAGCCGAAGTGAATTACTTGTGCGAATTATTTTCGCAGAATGGATACCCTAAGGAGTTTGTACGCCGATGCATGAGGCAGCGAGAATCAAGGGAGAAGGAGCCGGGTAGTTCCAGTCAGACGCCTGAATTAAGCACTTGGCGAACCCTTCCTTACATTAAGAATGCGTCTGAACTCGTCGAAAGGCACTTAAGGAAGCACCAAATTCGAGTGGCGCACAAACCTACGACTACTTTGCGCTCTCAGCTGGTACAGCCTAAGGATAGAGTTAATCAGCTGGACAAGAAAGAGGTCGTCTACAAGATACCGTGTAATGCATGTACTGCCGTCTATTGTGGCCAGACTGGAAAATCCGCCTCAACACGCATCCATGAGCACCAGTTGGCAGTAAAGAGGCGAGACCATCTGTCTCAGGTAGCCATGCATACGATGGACACAGGGCACACTTTCGCTTGGGACAAAGCTCGCGTTGTCGCGGTCTGCCCTTTCAAGAAAGGCCGAGAATTCCCCGAGGCGATGCACTCTGATGACTCATGCATCAACCGGCATATCGAGTTGGATGCCGTGTACAGAAACCTGAAGGAAAAATGGAAGAGAAGGGAACCAAACAGCTCAGACTGACGCACGATGGCCGCCAACCGGCGCACACGCTATGCAAGTATCGATTGTTTGTGCACTCGTGAGGTTAGCTGTTTCCTGCTTTCACATTTGCCTTTCACTTGCGTCTGACGACGACCTGGGGAACCAGCGTCGAAAATTTACGCAATAAACCCTCTTGTCCCAAAGAACCTACCTCTTTTCAACACACATATATATATATATATATATATGTGTACATGAATAATGGAGCTAGTATGCATTCCGAGTCCATATATTAAAAGGAGAAGGCTCGTCGGAAAATCGAGGTATACTCGTGAATTTTTAAGTCGGTTACACCAACCCGTCGTCAGACGAAAATGAAAAGTGTGAGGGAGATAATCCTACTGGGGAGTCAGGGGGTCATCGAGGTTACATCGACAAGACAGGCGTTTATGTGTGGGGTGAAGAACGTGTTTGGACAGGTGGCGGACGTATGGGGCGGTGTTGGGGGTTTCACACATGTTTCACTCTGTGGGGGAGGTGCTGAATCCATGATATTCTACATGGCCGAACATGGATTAGCAGTTGGTGGCTTAGGGGGGGCGCAAGCCGGCGAACCGTGAACGTAAGCCTTCGT